GATGGTGCTGATATTAGAATTTGTCATTTTAATTCACAGTGCTTTGTAAACAGACGAGTGGAAGGTGAGTTATGGAGAGAGGGGGTGTGGGGTGGGGAGGTGAAGGGGGGGCCTTGTGACAAGGGCTGCATTCTGCAAGACAGTTGTTTCTCCTGTGGGGGAGGGATCAATCCTTTTGTGGAATTTTTATCTAGTATTAAATCATTCACTTTTAGGGTCTCATTGGGTTAACCTGTAAAGACTACAGATTCTTTGCAACGATCCTCAATTTCTCTTGGCCCACACTTCAGAATTTTTCTATAGCAGTCTTCTGCACGATGTAATGACTGACAAGCCCCAATTCCCGCCTCCAGACCATGCTTAAGGATGTTTCATTTCTATGGTTGGCTTAAGGGCTATGCTAATAATTTCTACCCCACCTCCAGTTTCTGGTTTTCTGCCGCTTCCATTCCCTATTTTCGACTCTAAGTCTCTAGCATTCAGAAAGCAACTTGGATTTTTTGGTGGTTATTGTTTTTAACATTCATACTTTTCCTCATTGAATGTTCATTCTCTATATTTCGCCACACCAACGTGGAATAAAGTGGTATTTTCAGAACCATATAGAACTTTATAGAAAACTCCACACAAGGGCGAGACCAGGGCGATGAACGCGCGCTTGGGTGACCGCTTCCCAGCCCCTGCTGGCTTCCCTCTCACAGGGCAGCCTTTGTTGTAGAAAGAGGTTCTGGGAGTCACTTCCCGGCCTTCTCCAGAATCTAGTGAACACCTGGTAGCCACCTGCGGCCTGTGGGTATGGAAAAGGGGAGCGGTTGCGTTTCCCCTGCATCGTGTGCCGCTAATTTTTCCTCTAACACTCCCCCCACGCCGTGTGCCATTTTAGCGCGAAAAGTTTTCTGCAGCAACCAGGTGCTGGGGGCGCGGCTTCCTGGGGACTACATTTCCCACAATGCCCGGGGAGGCACGCGCAGCCGGAGAACTACATTGCCCGAAATGCCCAGGGGCAGAAGCGGCAGACGGGCTTCGAGCGGAATCCAAAGGTCCAGTTTACCCACCCTACAGCCCAGATATAATCACTTCTGTCCCCTTTCCTGCCAGAGACTTCCGTTCCCAGCTCCAACTTCCGATCCCATTCTTCGCCTGGTGCGAACGCTCAGGGAAAAACGTCATGGAGCGAGTAGAGCGCACGCGCGCCCAGCGTGGGCCGTGCGGGAGGCCGCCTGGGTCCTGGGCACATCCCGCCCTGCGCGTGCGCATACGATAACCAACGCCCCGGAGTTGAGGCGCGGATTTGGTGGCGCTTTTTAGCGAAGTCGCACGTGAAGGGCAGCGGTGGCCGGAGTCCGGTAAGTTGCGAGCCGAGGTCTGGGGTGCATCATGGGGGTCGGCAGGCAGCAACCGTTGCAGCCTGAACCGATGGAGAGCTCGGAGGCCTGATGGCACCCCTGGGGAGGGGTCCGACGTCGCGCGGCGGAGAAGCAACTGGGGACCCGGATTCTCGTTGCTATGCAACGGGGGCGTCGTTACTAGGTAACGGGGAGGCGAGCGTTTCCCGGGAGTAGAGGATTCGTAGCGCTGCTGCGATGTCCGGCCGGGACCCGACGACTGCCAGACTGGGGGACTCCGCCTGCGCGGAGCCTTCGCCCCTCCGACCTCCGCCCCAGCACCCACTCTCCCGCGCCGTCCCTCCCAGCCTTTTGGGGGTATCCTAGCCCAGGGCCTAGAGGCATCCCCTTGCCAGCGACACCACCCAGCAGGGTTTGGCTGGGGACTCGGTGTTCGAAATAGCACATGCCACTGACACTCAGTCTCCGGGAGGCTGAGCCCTGGGGAGGGCGCCTCGCGCTGCCCTTTGCCCCTTCGCCCCCCCCTCCCCCGTAGCCCTGCCCCCAACAGTTGCTGGGGAGCAGCTGTCAGGAGTTAGCGGGGGCTGCCCTCACCTGCCAGGACGCGGCTTAGTGGCAACTTGGCCCGTCTAGGCTCTTCCTTTCAGCGCAGCTGTGTTTCTCATATAGCCCGCAGCATGTTTGGAATAACTTTAAAATAAAACCTCTCTCTGGCTCTCCACTGCTACCTTCAGGGCTTCTTGGCGGGCCTCCAATATGCATTTAGCAAGTGTTTATTAACTCATGTTCTGTACTAGGTGCTGGGAATTCCAAGAAAAGATAGTTGTCCAGGGTGATCCCAGGTGTTAAGCAGTGTCCAGAAGGCAGGGTATAAACAGCTAATGTATGCTACAGTCTTAAACGGTGACTTATTGGCAGTTTTGTGCCCTGCAACATTCTATAGGTGTTTACAAAGTTCTTGTAGAAACATGTTAGCCTGGCAATGACTCTTCACAGCTCAACCCCTAGGAGACTGCAGCTGAGACAGGTTGGCTCTCAGGCACAAAGTAGTGGCTTCTAGTTTGTGGCAGAATTAAGTCTGGGGCAGAAGTCTAGGTCCTCTATGCCCTGTTGCACTTTTGGGACTTTGCCTGGCGCAGACTTTTGCCCATGCTGCTGATGGGATGTGGCAGCTGTCTGGTTAGGCGCAGAGACCCCTGAGGTCCTTGTGTGGGACCGTTTAAGTGAATTGACCCAGGATGGGGACAGACACCCTGCTCCCACGGCTCCACAGGCTGCTGTGAAAGGCACCAGAATTGAGAACGCTACTCCCGGCAGGGCTGAGCAATTGTGGGCCAATAAGAGCAAATCAGAGCCAGCAGAGGGCACTGAGGCAGCTGCCCCGCCTCTCCCCTCTTCCCCAGCAGTGTGATTCATATTGTGAAAGGAAACTAACAGGAGGGAGGGAGCCTTGGCTGGGGATGTGTAGATGCCCCACCCTGCTCCTTCGAAAACCACAAACACATTGTTTGCCCTCTCAGGACGGCAGCATTTCTCCAGCGCAGCCGGGTTCTCTGCTCACTGCCTGAGCTCTGAACAGAAGTGCTGGGTCTAATCCCAAGCCTCTGCCATCTTCTTGCCTTACGCCATGAAACGCTAACCTGTAAGCCCAGCAGGGGGTCCTCTCACGTGTGGCCTTTTCATTTTGAACTTGTTGGTGAGTGTAGTTGAACGTTAAGCGCTTGTCTTACTGAGGGAATGTGGGGGTGAAAAGCAAAAAGACAAGATTTAGGTGCTGGGCTCTTGAGTCAAGTCCAAGTTCTGCTGTGGGAGCTTAAACCAGTCACTTGATCTCTCTAAGCCATAGTTTTCTGAGCACAGTGGGATGGTGAAATAGCAAGCCCTTTGACTTTGACGATCATAGAACACCGCACAGGAATTAGAGTAACCGCATATTCCTTGAGGCCAGGCCGTTCAGGAACTGAACACATTTGCCATCAGCTTCCTCTTGGGGTTTGTGACTGTTTTGGCTATTGACTACGGTGGCTTCTGAAGTGAGGGGGCGCAGTGGCAGTGGGTCAGTCTTGCTGCCTGGGATAAACCTGGAAGAAATGAGAAAGAACCCGTTAAAACCTTTTGAAGAAACAGACCCATCAGAAATCTGCAATCCTATCTGCAGAAAGCACACTCCAGAATCCTGTTAGATTTGGTTTCCCGTGCACTTGAGGTCAGCTGGCAAGGCAATGCCGGCCCCGCCCCCAAGGGTTTATTTCAAGGTCCCCCAGCTCCCCTCGACTGGGGCAGCTGGTGCTCGAAAGTCAAGGCTAGCACAGAATGTGGCAGGCTGCCATGCGGGGTGCAGTTCGCATGCCCTGACCGCCTAAAAAAGGAGACGAATCTGATCTTGCCTGGTGGAGGTCCTTGGAGATAGGATCCAGCCCAGCATAGCAGCCCTGCTCCTCAAGTGCCCAGCACGATCCAGATAGCGCAGGGACTGACCTGTGCTTCCTCTTCTCGGACCACTAGCAGGCAGGAACCATCTGGTTCTTGATTTGTGCCAAAAGAGTAGAAGGCTCACCAGCCCGAGCCATCCCGCATGGATTGCAGGCTTTGCAGCCCTGTGTGACCCTCCAGGTCTCAGGAAGGACTTAGAACAGCTGTTTCTACCCCCCAAGTGTGATTATTTTTAAAGATTTATTTATTATGCATGCAAGAACTGGGGTACAGCCCAGAGGTGCAGGGTAGTGGGAAGGTGAGAGGATTTGCCAGAATGGGGAACAGAATGGGCAGATCAACTGAAACACACTGTTGAGGGGAACAGCAGGTGAGACAGAGAAGTCTGCTGCGCTACATGGGTCAGCTCCCTGGCTGGGGATCAAGCTCATGCTGCAGTGGCTGAAGATTGCTTCATAGAGCTGTGCTTTAACCCCTTGCACCATCAGGGAGGGTCCCCAAATGTGATATGTTTATGACCCTTTCTTGGGACTCTCCTCCTTCCCACTAAGCAAAAATGGGGACGTCTTTCTCTCCTTCTCATCCCAATGGCACCAGGTTTCTGGCCAACTCCCTGTGTGCTCTGCTAACTGCAGAAACTCCGCCCACCTGCCTGCCCCACCTCAGGCCATGCTTAGCCCTGATCATGGGGCTGAATCACGGACACTCCCTGGAGCCATAGGTCGCCTTCCGAGCCTGGAAGGGAGCAGGGAATTTGCTGGTGCTATTTAACATTTTTCAAGCATGGTGGCAAATACAAGTTGGGATCGAAAACATGTTTCTTGGCTTAATCCACACGTGCTTCACTGACTTGATGCTTGCTGGCTCTTGCCTGTGGCATCCTCTTACAGACAAGATAGGAACATGGAGTGGTTAAGTGAATTTTGTCGCTACTAACTCACGGAGTGATGATTGGTGGATGCCACTTTTACTTAGCTCATAACTTAATAAATAAATTTCTAAATCCCTTCTGAGACAGTTGGAGATATATAGCCAGGCTGGTTTATTTGGGGGGAGAGGGGGTGTCCTGATGTCAGATATACTCAGATTCAAGTCTGTTTCCTTGTTTCCTCAGCAGTAAAATGGGGAATAATGATACCCCCTGACAGCCACTCTCCTGACGGGCCATTGTGAGTTCAGTGGGACAGGTGGTACAGGGTTAGCTTTCTGCTGACAATGGAATCTTCTTGACGGTTGTGCTTTCATGCTTGGCTGAGTGTGGGGGCTGGGTAGTTGAGGTCACTCTGTTAGTGGGTCTCAACCTGCCTGGGAGCAGACATTTGGGGAGCGTCTGCAGGTGGGAGCCCAGCCACATCGGTGGCCTGATGTTAGGTCATGCCTGAGTCTGGCCCCAGAAGCAGAGGCGTCGGTTCACGTCCCGGCTCTTCTTCATCACCCAGTGACTTTTGGGCAAATGCCTCACTCCTAAGTTAGAGGTTGTGTGCACATGGGGCGAGGCGGGACCATAAGATGGCCCGTGCTGCCCAGCATGTGTGGTGCCTGACCCCTGGCCTGAGCAGCGAGCTCAGTCCTATCCTTACATGGCTACACATTTGTGTGCTCTCTCTTTTTTTTTTTTTTTAAGATTTATTTATTTCTGCATACAGAGCTGGGGTACAGGCCACAGGTGCAGGGACAGTGAGAGGATTCACCAGAGGCAGAGTGGGGAGCAGAAAAAGTAGATGTACGAAGCACACTGCTGAGGGGAGCAGCGGGCGGGCCAGGAGAGGTCTGCCGCACCATGTGGCCACCTCCTGGGCAGACGGGGATCGAACTCATGCGGAAGTGGTTTTGGCTTCTTAGCGCCACCATGGAGGACCCTGTGTGCTCTTAAATTGTGTTTTTTCCCCCAGCTTCTCTTAGGTAGATTATAATCTCCTTGGGGAATAGATATAGCCCTATATATTCTCGATGCCTATAGCGCTAGAGACCCAGCAACTAACTGACCTTCAGTTTTGGAACTGGATAAGCCTTAGAGCGCTGGCCAGCCCCCTCCCAGAGGCAGGGAAGAAGAGCACTTGCTGGTTAGTTCATACACCGGAGGTAGGCAGTGTGACAGGGGGACCCTTCTCTCAGAGGTCTGTGCCCCACTGAAACTGAAACATCCCCATCAGCTAACGGGGGCGGGGGGGGGGGCTTTGCGGGGCAACGTGGCAGGCGGCGGGCTTCTGCGCACGCGCGGCCTCTCCGCTCACCTGCGCATCTCTCCTGGCAGCCCCAGCCATGGCAGGCCCAGGCAGCACCACGCCCCAGGTGAAGTACCTGTTCAGTGTCATCCTGGCTGTCCTCCTGGCCTGCCTCTTCCACTCAGCCTGGGCGCAGTCTCCTCAAGACTTCGGGTCACCCGGCCATCGGAAAAAGGAGGTCCCCGTTGATCTCTTGAGCCAGATAGGCCGCTCCGCCCGGGGAACGCTGGACGACTGGGTGGGGCCCGAGACCATGCACCTGGTTGCAGAGGTGAGTGAGGGCCCCTCTGGCTGCGCACGTGGGGAGTCGCCCAGACCCAGAAGCCAGCTGAAACTTCTGTGGCTCCCACAGTCCGGTTCCTACCCCAGGGCTTTGGCTCCTCCCACTTCTTACCTTTGCTCCTGCCCTCTCTTGCCAGAAAGGCGGGAGCCCGGCGTCCTTGTAGGCATGCTGCTGGGCCGCCTCAGCCAGGCTCGGGTCTCAGTCGGACCTGAAGCATTAAGTCGGTGAAAATCAGGACTGGAATCTGCTCCTTCACCTGGAGAGGCGGGGTGGGCTGTGACCCGATGGCGTCCCAAGCCGTGTGCTTTTGGGGTGACCCCTCAGAAGGGGCCTGGACTGAAGCTTGCAGGCAAGGTCGGAGTAGAGTGGAGCCCACTGACCCTTTCTCATGCACACATCCGAATCCTTCACAGAAGTCACTCCACACACTTTCATGATTCCCCAAAAGGCTAGTAGGACCCCAGTACACCTATCCCACCACCGAACTATTCCAACAAGTCAGCCGAATTAGGGCTCAGATATCCTGGGTTCCGGTTCAGGCGGGAGCAATGACGTGCTGCCTGTCCCTACAGCCCAGCAGCACCTGTGAGAGGCAGGGGTGAGGCACTCCTGCTGGGCGGGCCTACAGAGGTGGGGCGGCTCGGAGGGGAGGGCAGCGTCGCTAATCATGGACTCACCTGCTCTCTCCACAGACCTTGTCTCATATGATGTGGGTCATCTCGTCTGCCGTCTCTGTGGCCTTCTTCGCGCTGTCCGGCATCGCTGCACAGCTGCTGAATGCCTTGGGGCTGGACGGTGAGTGGCAGGGGCCTGCTGAGGGCAGCTGTGGCGTAGCCTGCCCTGTGACCGGAGTGCTTTCAGGGTCCAGACATTCCCCCAGCTGCTCGACACCTCCCAGGTCTCCCCGGAGGCTGCTGTCGTAGAGCAGGCCAGTAACAGTCACCTCCCAGAGGCTCAGTGACCCGCTCGTGGGGTACCTCACTGTTAACCTACAGCCCAGGGTACTCAGTGCGTGGTGCGGGCTCCGCCATCCCAGCAGGGGCGGAGCTGAGGCCCCGTCTCCCCTCCCACTGGTCACCTTCCCGGGTGGCTGATTCTGGGCCTTTTCCCCCACCCAGGAGACCACCTCACCCAGGAACTGAAGCTCAGCCCCAGCCAGGTGCAGACCTTCCTGCTGTGGGGAGCCGCGGCCCTGGTTCTCTACTGGATTCTGTCCATGCTCCTCGGCCTGGTCTTGGCCTTGCTGGGGCGGATCCTGTGGGGCCTGAAGCTGGTCATCTTCCTGTCTGGCTTCGTGGCTCTGGTGAGGTCGGTGCCCGACCCTTCCACCCGGGCCTTGCTCCTGCTGGCCTTGCTGACCCTCTATGCCTTGCTGAGCCGGCTCACGGGCACCAGGGCCTCAGGGGCCCAGCTGGAGGCCAAGGTGCGAGGGCTGGAGCGCCAAGTGGAGGAGCTGCGCTGGAGGCAGAGGCGAGCGGCCAAGGGGCCCCGGAGCATGGAGGAGGAGTGAAGGACGCCGGCAACGCCACGTCGTCATACCAAAGAGCTGAGCTGCTTCTGGGTTGCACAGCCCTCCTTCCAGGCCCTTAGCCCTCCCTTGCCCTGGCTCTGAAACTCAGAGCCTGCCCCCTCTGCACCAGACCCCCAGCTGAGAGAGGAAGACCACTCCCCCCGCTGGTTCTGGGAGCCCTGCCTTCTGGGGTTCTGTGTCAACCCGTTCTCCCAACCCGTTCTCCCTCCTGTGCGGTCTCAGCTAGGACAGGGGGCTTGGGGCCTCCCCCAGCTTCAGCGCCTGCTCTCAGCACTGCCTTCGCCCCAGTGCCACGGCCAGCTCTCCGTGCAGCTGCCCTGCCTTGATGCTCTTGCTCTCCTGTCCTTCTCCAGCCCCTCCTCTGCTGAGTCCTCAGCTCCCATCCCGTTTGTCTTCCCTTCCTGCATCCACCCAAACCCCCGCCTCTCAGGCATGCTCTCGTCCTGCTCAGCGCCCAGCCTGCTGAGGCAGGGGGCATGAGACCTGAGGGGAAGCAAAGGGGGCCTTCCCTGGGGCTGGACACGTCCATGGAGTCTGTTACAAGTGCCTTAATCGGGGCCAGCAGGCCCTCTGCTTGCCTCCTGCTCCCTGTAGTGCACTGGGCTGCTTTGTGTCAAGAAGAAACTGGTCCCTTTCAGAATCTTGATTCCCCTTCAGCCAAAGCAAAAGATGGCTGCTTTGCAGACTCAGGCCTGCAGTTAGGACCCTGCCGTCAGATCCCCTGTGGGGACTTCAGAGACTCTGAAGGAGAAGGAGGTCTCATCTTCTGGCTGCACACTTCCAGATGGCTTTCTACCCCTCACCCCCACTCACGGCCACCAAGGAGTTGCTGATCAGGCCCACCCCGGGCTGAGGAGGAGATGCAGCCACAACCTTTCTCTCCTGTCCTGCGGGAGCAGGGAACCTGCTCCTGCTCCTCCTTTGAGGTCCTGGTAGAGTGGGTGTCTCCTCTGCCCAACCGGGCACATGATACAAAGAATCAACAGAGGCCCAATTCTTCCTGTTACAGTTTGATATGGAATCACAGCCGCAGTGATCTATATTTTTATCAGCGCTTGGTTGGTTTTAAATAAAGTGCACGCTATTTTATTATCTCGTTCCGTGTGACATGCTTTTACTCCAATCCTGGATGGCTTTGATTACGGTGAAACCCTTCTCTGTGGAGGTGCTGGCTCTCTAGCCTGCTCCCTGCAGGGGCCTTGTGAAGCTGGCAGGAGGGAGGGGTCAGGACTAAAGGAAGGCCAGTGTCAGATGTCCTTACCTCCTGGAGGGCAGGAAAGAGGCAGGAGAGCCCCCAGCACCAAACTTGCAGGAACTGAGCAGTGCTGTGGAGGGTGGGAGGAAGGTACCCCGGTACCCCAGTCCCCTCGGTGTGGAAAAGGCCAGTCCCAGCAGGAGGAGGCGCGCCGGCCCTCCCTGCCTTCCTCACTAGACTGGAGTTTCTTGTACCAGCCTTCACCAGGCCAGTAGATTGCATCAGTTGTCTTGAGGGGCCCTGGGGGGTGGGGGTGTCATGTCTTTGAAGCTGCCTGAGAGATACTCGTGAATGACCCTGCTCTGAGCCCCTGCGGACACCGGCAGGCCAGGCTGGACCCGGAGGCCAGGTTTGGGAGGCAGGCTGCCCTCGGGAGCAGACAGCCCTCGCCCTCGCCGCCTTTGCCAGGCCCATGGGCGTCCCCCTGGCAGGGAGTCTGCCTGAAACTCCAGCTGCCTGCACCTGGAACCCTCCGCCACTCCCGCCACTCCCGGGGCGCAGGGCCGCGTCTGGGCAGGCCCAGCTGGCTGTCACCTGGCCCGGGGCGCTGCTGTCTCTCCCTTTCCACCTCTGCACTCCTGCTTCCCACCTCCCTGAATTCTGGTTCTGATTCAGGTATGGGATGCCTTTACAGGTGAGCTGCTTGTGGGGCGGGAGTGAGGCCGAGGAAGTGGTTTTTCCTTCGGGCTCTCCCCCGACAGCAAACGGAAATGAGTCCTCTAGCCGAGGCGGTCGGGCCCCTGCGGCTCAGTCCCCGGGGAAGCAGCCTTTCTCCGGACCGACCTGGCGCCCCGCGATCTGTCGGGCACTAGGACCCGGCGGGGCGCGGGCGGTCGGGGCTGCCTTCCCTCCCTCCCAGCTCCTGCGCGGCTCCCGCTCCATTGTCTGGGAACGGCAGCCGGGGGCGGGCGGCGCTGGGGACCGGCCCGCCG